TTCACCAGCTGCTCCCCAGTCCCCTTCACCAGCGCTGCTCAGTCCCCTCTGCTGCTCTGAAGTCCCCTTTCACTGCTCAGGTCCCCTTCACTATGTTTCAGTCCTCTTCCACTAGTTTCCAGTTCCCTCACTTTACAGAGGCCTCAGGGTTTATATCCAACAGAAGGAACTCGCAATAGTAAACAAACTATGGAATCAAATTGTTCATTAAAACAAATATCTCAATGTAATGCTTGCAGAATGTTTATATAACGAGCCCTGTAAACGCAACTAGTGAATGGACTGCATGATTTTTCACATCTTCGTCCTGTCGAATAATCATACAATGGTTTAACCTTCAGACCTGAGAATGACAAAAATCAAATTAATGAATATCCTAAAAATATTGAACAAAATCAATCAGGTTGAAAACTCATAACAACTAATTATTTTAACGAACCAAGTTTGATACATCGGCTGCTTTCAAAGAGATAATCTGCCTGTTAAGTGAGGAACAACTCTCCAACGAGGAATTTGTTGACTCAGACGAAGACACCTGATCCTGTGTGTAGCACCGAGTCCCTCTTGAAAGCCCTAACTGGGAGATGACAGTTGAGGCATTGTTGATGTGTCCTCATGTCCTCAAGGTTTCTGTCATCCGTGACGCCGTCACTCCAAGCACTGGAGCACGCAAAAAGGAAGACTGTCACCGCCATGGGATGGTATGTTCTGAACGGCAAGGCTGCACCTTTATGGTTTGTGGTTAATCAACCTGATGGACGGTATGCATACCACCACCACCACCACCACCACGATAGGTCCTTTCAGTTTGTGTGTGTTTTGTTTGAGGAAATGTCCTATTCTTCTGATTTTCCCAACTCACTCTGATGATGTAGCAGTTACTCTCACAGATGAGGAATCCCACATGATGATGCTACCACGGTGTAGAATCTTAGACACCACGGAGTCTCACTGAAAATATACAGTTACATATTTGGGAATGGGTTACGAATTACAAATAATATACAAGTAACATGTGACTACAATACATAATAATCCACTGATTTTTGCAGGAACGAACCTGAGACAGCCACTACTGTACTTTTAGATCCTCTTTTCACACTCTTTCTTGTTATTTTTTTTTTCCTCACACTCTCAGATCCCAACAACCTTCCTGAACAAATGTGTCCAACAATGAATTAGATGGTTGCATCACCATCTATTAGTTAGTAACTTGCAATCTATAAAGGAACACTCAGCATGTAAACTTGGTGATACACCTTTTGTAAAGCACTATATTATTGAATGGGACACTGTCAAAGACTTCAGGCCACCTCACTTATTGTACTTTTGAACTATACACATTTCATTGAGGACATTACATTCTTAAGTTTTTAACCAATTGGCTAGCTCTACACTGGTAATGTACTGTACTGTCAATGAATCTGATGTATTTCTTTTTGTGTATGAACTCTGACTGAGTATTGTCGCTCTCCCTGGCTGCTGCTGCTGCTGCTGCTGCTGCTGCTGCCATGTTTTTGCGCCCTCTTCTAAGTCCTGTTTGTCCCCACCCCAGGCCCCTAGGCATCACCCCTTCACATCTACACACCATTCAAAAAACAATTTCACTCATTTACACAGAGTGTTATCCTTAACGTTGATGTCGTATATTTCTCTCTTTACATCCTGTGTCTGGAAAGGAGCCTGCTCTTGGTTAGGTTGTCTTGTGTGAACGAACCTGGGTTCTTACTTCTTCCTGTCTTCTTTGGGAGGAGCACAGCTTGATGTTAGCGACACCCCTTGGGCAATGGTGATAGAGTTTGTTCAGCCTCGTCATTAAGGAATGGCAAGCTGAAGATGACGCTGACAATGGTCTTCTGTTGTCGTGGCAAGTGTTGGCTGGCTGCCTGAGCACTCTACGCCAGGCACTCCATGATTTGGCTGCAAGGCACACAGGCACCTGCACCACGCCTGCATAGCTGCCTGACGCAAGAGACGTGATCCTACCCACGGGAACTGGTCCGCCCTGCCAGAATGGACTCTTGACTTGCCCTTCACCTTTGCCACTCTCTGCCTGCCACTTTTGTCTGATCCTGAGTTTCACTCTGTCTAACTGTGCTGCTATGCCTCCGGCTGGTGCTTACAGCATCTACATCTACAAGGACTAGCTAAGTGCACCCCTGACACAGGAGTCTCCTCCAAAGCTATGTCCATCATGAACTCTTTCAGAACGACATTCGAGCGCGCATCGCTGAGGCTTCCTGCCTGGCGCACTACAACAAACGCTCTGACCATTACAAGTCGGAACCAGGACAGCTGTCCGACTCTGCTGTGAACTGGCTAAGCATGTCTGAGGCACCAAGGTTGTCACTACACTCTTCCAAGAGACATTTAGCACAACAAACACGCCATCCCACTACTACATCTCTTTAATCGGCTCCATCGGAGCCAGTTACATGTTAAAAGAGACAGTTACTGACAGTGATATATTGAGAAATAAAAATTATAATAATCTGCATTCTCTATTACAGTAGAAACTGGACTAATTGAACAATAAATAAATAAATAAATTTGTGTATACTTTTTTGTACACTCCACTGCAAAGTGACATACATGGAGTGTGTTTGGCCTATTTCATGTTTGCACTTATTTCATGTAAACAATTTATTTTATTTTATTGTATTTTTTATTGTATTTTCTTTTATTTTATTTTATTTATTTACTTACTTATTCTTTATACATTTATTTGTTACTATTTTGTTTGTTGCAATCCACCCACCTCCCGAATTGATGATCTACTATACATTCGTGCCTGCACGAATGTTACCAACTTACTGTTAGGCGATTTGGGTAACCGAAATTAACGCTTCCTACCATCAAACTTGACTGTCATCTTCAGAAGGATGTCTTTTCCCCTGGCTGGATGCGCCAGCTGGATGTCCTTGGTGTCCCTGAGCGACGGTCCTGGGCCTGTAACGATATTCTTCCACCTCATTGGCCACGAGTGCATGTGTCATCTCGCAGCTGCTGCCTCCCACCTCCAAGAGGGAGGGACGGTCTTGATGATACTACTGGCTGGTGTCCACAGCACGCCACCCACTCCCACCTCAAATCCGTCAAGTGGTTGGCCACCCAGGACCACCTGTAGCAACCACAACAACATGACTGACGAGGCAAAGGCAAGGACTTGAAAGTGGTGCTGTCATCGAGTGCTTCTCAGACAACATCCAGGACCATCACTAAGCCCGGCTATCTGTCGTCTAGCTCGGCGCGTGGAGGCAACGTGGCATCCCGGCCTTCATCTGACCTGCGGCGTCCCTGGTGTTTCTGAGAACGTCATCCGTGACGCCGTCACCTACACCGAGCACGCAAAGAAGACTGTCACTGCCATGGGATGTGGTGCAGGCTCCTGAAACGGCAAGGCTGCACCTTTTATGGTTTTGGTGGTTAATCAACCTGATGGATTCATGATACCACCACCACCACCACCACCACGACAACAAATATACGGACTACTTTTTTAGGTCCACATTTAAATCAAGCAAGAGTTGGTTAGACACTGAGTAAATCGTTGAAAAATATATCTAATAACATGATCCTCTAATTCTGACTTGTGGTATGAGTATAGGTTGTATGTGAACGTGTTGGAACCACTTCCTAGTAATTGTCAGTCAGTCAGTCAGTCAGTCAGTCAGCCAACATTCACTCTAATCCTCCAGGTG